ACAACCATTATTTTGCGCTACAGTTTGCCCGTGTTTAAAGCCACACTCAGTAATATTAGCGCTACATTTGGCGGCGGTCTGTATATAATCGAATCAGCTGTTACAGCATAAGCATCGATCTACGCAATTAAGATACGATGACATGTGACATTCATGTCAGTGAGTCTGACCACCCAATCCCGTTAATCGCTTCTTACCACAAGCATGGGCTACTGAAGATCAATACTAACTGGGACTTTACAGGTTGGGTTGGAGTTGATACATGTGCCAGATTACTCGTAAAATCTGCAACACTGATTTGAATTTGAAATCGAAAACGCAACAGTGCCTCACATTATATTGTTAAATTTGAAAACAGATTGCAAATGAAAGTATGATTAACTAATCTGCAGGGGGAATACGTCAACCTTCAAATGATGTTGTCCAGGCAGTAGATTAAAGAAAGGAAGAGGTATAAGAAGAACAATTTTTTGCCCACTGTAATATTTCAAAATGATAAAAGGCAAAATAATCGATGTTACGGAAAGGTCGTAGGATAATAATGATAATACATAAAAGCAAAGAAAGAAACATTTCAATTATCATAAGAGGTTACATACATATGATGTGAGGATATTGACAACACAAGTCTGTCTGCTGGTCCACAACGTTTTATTGCCAGGTTTTCACAAGGAGCACTAAGCTCAGCTCCCAGTTTCCAACTGGTTTCGTACTAACAATGTTTGTTCTATTCCTAAAAGGTAATATGTCAAGACTATATAGTACTTCGTCCAAAACCCACATGCCTCTAGTGCTGGGGTCGTCCGGATCATCATAATGCAGTGTTCTCCGGGGGCTCATTGAACTCGAGACATCGTATGTATTACACTTTATTTTGCACTTGATATACTGTATACTGCATTAGGGTGGTGGGGTAGCCCAGTGGTTAAAGCGTTTGTTCGTCACGCCGAAAACCCGGGTTCGATTCCCCACATGGGTACATTGTGTGAAGCCCATTTCAGATATTGCTGTAATATTGCTAAAAGAGGCATAAAACATCACTCACTCACTTACCAACCCACTCAGTCACGGTGTATTGCATTTGTTATATGATCCGATCGTGACAAAGGAATGACCTCATGTCCCCAATAAGGGTAGTGAATGAGGTATCGTTTATAGCGTTCAGCAACCATTGATAAAGATGGACATGAATCAGATTTAAAGTGATTTTCAGTGTTATGCTGTGGACCACTTTTTAAGCAGTAACGTATTATACATTCTATTAACTACACTGACATACAAATAATCAATGATATTACATTCTATTAACTACACTGTCATACATATAATCAATGATATTACATTCTATTAACTACACTGACAATATATAATCAATGATATTACATTCTATTAATTACACTGACATACATATAATCAATGATATTACATTCTATTAATTACACTAACAGACATATAATCAATGATATTACATTTTATTAATTACACTGACATACAAATAATCAATGATATTACATTCTATTAATTGCACTGACAAACATATAATCAATGATATTACATTTTATTAATTACACTGACATACAAATAATCAATGATATTACATTCTATTAATTGCACTGACAAACATATAATCAATGATATTACATTCTATTAATTACACTGACATACATATAATCAATGATATTACATTTTATTAATTACACTGACATACAAATAATCAAGAGGCGACTAACGGGATCGGGTTGTGAAGCTCGCTGGCTTGGTTGACACATGTCATCGGTTCCCAATTGCGCAGATCGATGCTCATGCTGTTGATTACTGGATTGTCTGGTCCACACTCGATTATTTACAGACCGCCGCCATATAGCCGGGATATTGCTGAGTGCGGCGTAAAAAACTCAACTCACTCACTCCTAGTATGGTGATCTACCTTCAGTTGTTGGTGATCTATAGCCCGTTTATATTTTTTACAGTCTATACTGAATTAATTTTATGATAGTGTACTAGTTTTAAATTTATATCTGTGATGCTCTGGTATTTTTATGTTCTAAATTTATTGATTTTAATATTTATATAAATTAACTTGTTCTCGTCATGATATGACTGAAATATTGCCGATGTGACGCTAAATATTAACTCACTCACTTACTCACAACAGATAGTGTTTTGACAATAATCCAAAATTAGCATCACCGTGTTGAAACTGTGTGCGAGTTAAGATTTCAAGTCACATCGGCGATATTTCAGCCGTGTAATACTCTCCATATAAAACAAATAGAGCGTGGTCCATACTTTTAATCCTTCAGCTTCTTCACATTGACCATATGGCGATACCACTAGAGCGAGAGCGAAACATTCCCAAAATCATAATTCACTATAGTACGAAACATAACCACTGATAACTTTAAAACGAAATGGGATCATATTACATCCCCCTTCTTTTGAAGAAAAGGAATTTACTAAATAACACATCTTGTACATTCTGGTGTTCAATTATCAAACTATAATGTGACTGAATGGTCTTGAATCAGTTAATATCCACTACAACAATATCACTTTCTAATTTCACCACTGTTTCACAATACTAGTTATTCTGACATAAAAATCACAATAAATAAAGCTTCTGGAATTAAACTGCAAATTTTTGCATTACTCACACACTAACTCTTTCACACTAGCAATACTCCACAACTGAGCTTAACCTTAAACACAATGATTAACACTTCTGCTGAATATCCTGAACTGTTAAAAGATTGAAATCAGTTATCATATTTCAATGCATTGCTCAATAAATCTCCACATCTGGTTTCTTGACCATTCAACCATCCTGGAACTAGTGCAATAGTTATCTGTCCAATATTGCTCAATCAATGTTCCTAGTGGTCCAGTACAGTGGTGTACACTCTCCAGTGCATCCATCAGCAAGTTGATTGTCCTCATCAGACCTGACTGACTGAGAAGTCTCACTGGAGTGTTCATCTAGTGCAAACCTCACTTTTCTGGGTGTTCCCAGCATCTCTCGCAAATGGTGCCTGTTTCTTCTTAAGACATTGCCATTTGGAGTTTCTACCATATACGACCTGGGCTCACTACACTTGGCAGATATCCTACCAGGTACCCATCTCCCAGTATCTTGATCTTGAGTCAAGACTTTCTGACCAACACTCAACGCAGGTACATCTTTCACCCCTTTTCTGTCGTGGTAGTATTTCTGCAACTGCTGTCTATCCTGCAATCTATTCATGTTTGCATCCTTCTGCGGGTGATTATTTGCAATCAATACAGGTAAGATACCTTGCAGCTTCCGACCATTTAGAATCTCACCTGGTGATGGAATAGTACCGTCAACAGGGGTTGTTCTGAGGCTGAGCAAAGCTAGATCAGGATCAGTTCTAGACTGCTTTGCCTTGATAAGACACTGCTTTACAGTTTGCACCATTCTCTCCACAAATCCATTACTTTGTGGATACCGCGGACTAGATGTCACATGATCGAAACACCACTGGTCAGCGAAACGCCTAAATTCCTCACAGTCAAACTGTCTCCCGTTATCGTTGATAACCTTGCTGGGTATATCCCCTGTTCACCAAACAGTTGTTTACATTGATCTATGACAGCCCTACTTGTACACTGACCATGTATCCTGCGTACAAAAAATGACTTGGAGTAGTAGTCAGTAATCAACAGATTCTCACATTCAACGAAATGAAACAAATCCATTCCCACTGTATGCCACGGTCTCTGGGGAATATTATGAGGGTGTAATGTTTCATGTGACTGAGACTTTTTATTCTCTTGACAAATCATACAGCTTTCCAACAGTTCCTCAATCTCCTTGTTGATACCTGGCCAGTATATGCATGACTTGGCACGGTGTTGACACTTGGAAACACCTTGATGACCAATGTGCAGTTGTAGCGCTTCTCGCCTCATCGCAGGTGGTATCATAATCCTCTCACCTTTCAGCAAGAAGCCATCCTCTATAGACAGCTCATGTCGACAGGACCAAAATGGACGAATAATTTTCCGAACTTGCTTTGCATCTTCTGGCCATCCAGATATAATAATGGTCTTTAATGCACTAAATGTCTCATCATTTTCAGTTTCCTTGCGGATCATCTCAAGCTTATCAGTTGAGAACTGGACCTGGTGAATTGTTTTGTCAATGCTGATAGTTGGACCTGGAGCCGGATTCTGCCTAGACAACATGTCTGAGAGAATCATCTCTTTTCCTGGTTTGTATTTAATCTCATAGTCATATTGTTGAAGTTGGAGCATCATCCTCTGGGGTCGAGGTGGAGTACTGGCTAGATTCTTGTGCTGAATATTCTCCAGAGGTTTATGATCTGATTCCACAATGAAATGGCTGCCAAACACATATGTGTGAAATCTCTTGCATCCAAAGACCACAGCAAGAAGTTCACGCTCGATATTTGCATATCGCTTTTCAGTGTCAGTAAGTGCCTTGCTTGCATAAGCAATTGGATAGCCATCCTGCATTATCACAGCACCAAGACCTTTCATCGATGCGTCCACTTGAACAACCGTTGACTTCTCTGGATCGAAGTACTTTAATGTACCATCAAGACAGACCATAGTCTTCAGCTTGTCAAATGTAGCTTGATGCGATTCTGTCCATTGCCATACATTGTCTTTGTGAGTCAACATCCTCAACGATTCTGTGAAGTCAGCCAAGTTGGGTATGAATGCCGACATATACTGTATCATACCAAGAAACCGCTGTAGCTCAACAGTGTTTGCAGGTGGAGGTAAGTTGCGAATCTCCTGTACCTTCATTGGATCAGGATGTACACCCTGGGCATCATAGTAGTTTCCGAAAAAACTTGATTTTCTCTTTTCTGATCTCACATTTCTCAATGTTGAAAATCAGGCCATATTTTGCTGCAACTTTCATAAGCTGATGAAGATTTTGGTCATGTTCCTCAACAGTCTTTCCATACACTGCTGTATCATCACTGATGCCAATTGTTCCTGGACACTGTTCAAGAATCATATCCATCTTCTCTTTGGAAGATGTCCTGAGAAATCCGTAACCCGAAAGGAAGTCGACGAAACCGGTACCTCCCAAACGGTGTATTGAAAGTTGTAAGTACACTAGAGTTGTCATCAAGAGTGACACTCCAATAGCCATGCCTAGCATCTAACTTGCTAAACACAGTTGCTCCACAAAACTTGTGTGTTATTTCTTCCAGGGTCGGTGTCTTGTGATATGTTCTCTTAATAGAGCGGTTTAAGTCACTAGGGTCAAGACACACTCTGAGTTTTCCATTGTCCTTCCTACTGAATGCAAGTGATGAAACCCGGTCTGTAGGCTCAGTTACCTTGGCAATCACACCCAAAGACTCCATTCTGTCCAACTCAGCCTTCAACTCATCTTTCAGTTGAATTGGATACTTTCTTGCTGGATGTAGCCCTGGTTCAGCATCTTCTTTGAGGGTTATATGACACTTACCAGGGAACTGACCAATGCCTTCAAATCTGTCAGGGTATAAATTCTGCAGGGTTTCCTTGTTAGGGATAGGTACTGATTTATCCACACTGTGCACTGAAGTGGTGGAGCAATTTGGTGTAATTATATTCAGAGCAAGGGTTGAAGGGAGACCAAGTAGAATAGGACCTGGCGCATCAGCAAGAAATAATTCAGTGTCCAACCAGTTACCGTTAAATCCACATGCTAAAGTGACACTACCACACTGCGGTATGTCGGTACCATTGTACGCACTCAGTTTGACATGTTGAGCCTTTGTGGTACCATATTTGGGAAAACCTGATGCATCAAGGTACTCTGGAAACATCCTTCTGTATACACGAAGTGGGAGTAGATTTCCTTGTGCGCCTGTGTCTACTTTGACCTTCATGGTGTGATTACCTTGACAGTTATCCAGCTTCACATCCAAGTTTACTTTCAGCTCATCTACATCGTGCTTGGCGACCCCATCAATAAAAGTTACCGTTTCAAAATGGAAGTGTTCAAAATCCTCTCTCACACAGTCTATATCATGCTGTTTTTGTGTATGTTGATGTGTCTGTTTCCTGTAGCTATATTGTGATATGTGTTCACCACCCCTTTGTGACTGTCGTCCACTACTCTTCGACCTCGACTGTTGTCTGCGATATACTACGCCTATGCTGCTGTCTGCCTCTACCCTGCTGACACATTTCCTTCCAATGCCCACATTTACCACACATCTTGCATCTACTGTTACTTGCTGGACACTTGCTTCTAGATACAAAAGAGTGTTTGCAAAACCGTCTGTTTGCAAAATCTTGCCATCTAGATTCTTGAACTGTGACGCTTGCCTCATGTCGCCTTCCAGTATCAATGGCCTCTTGGAGGGTTAACTTTTCATCACGTCCTAATAGTGTTTTCTGCACCTCTGGGTACGGAACACCAGCAATGAGAACCTCAATCATTCTCTCCTCCATTGCATCATTGTCTTTAAACAGACACTTTATAGCTTTCGCCTTACACCTTGTGATAAAGTCATCAATAGTCTCACTTACTTTTTGTTTGTAACGAAGAAATTCCAGTCTGTGAATTCTGAAATTTTCAGAAGGCTCAATTTGGGAAGAGAATTTATCCCACAAATTCTTGGGATTTTTCAAGTTTTCTTCAGAGAGATTCCAAGTGTTAAACATCCTAAGACCTTCCTTGCCAGACCATAAGACGATGTAGCTATGCTGAACTTCTGGCTTGGTACCTTTAATTTTGAACCAAAGTTCACTCGTTTGTCTAAATTCTTTAAATGCCTGACCCCTGTCTGGGTGTGACCAGTCCATGCAAGGTGATGGCACTGACTCCGCCATAGTGATTTTATGTGCACTTCAATATTACACTGCACAAAGTACGTTGTCAGTCCTCATGGCGCGTAGTCGAAACAGCACGCCGACTGGTAAATTTATTCCGTCCGAGACATGTCACACAATCATGAGCGGAATTTAGTGGGTGATGCGTAGGCCTGATCTCACCTCTGCCACCATGTAATACTCTCCATATAAAACAGATAGAGCGTGGTCCATACTTTTAATCCTTCAGCTTCTTCACATTGACCACATGGCGATACCACTAGAGCGAGAGCGAAACATTCCCAAAATCATAATTCACTATAGAACGAAACATAACCACTGATAACTTTAAAACGAAATGGGATCATATTACAAGCCGTATCATGACTAAAAACAATTCATAATAAATAGGGATAAAAGACGAGGAAAGTAAAAACAACTAGAATGTCACAGATATAAATGTTAAACTAGTAATTAAATCTAAAACATTTAACTATAGATGACAATACAATATAAAAACAGGCTATAGATCGCTAACAACTGAAAGTTGATCACCATACCAGGAACCATGGCGTCTTCTTGCATGGACCCAAGCTGGATTTACATCATCCCGTTAGATGTCAGCAATTGTCAATGAATCTAGCCATACAGTAAATAACATAGATACTACGATTTAAAGCTGGTAGATATAAACTTACCTTGAATGACATGGACTTGCATACCCTCTTGGGGGCACAATAATTTTACGGTTCCTCAACCCCCGTCGAGGGCATTACCACGAACAATCTTAGTTAATAATTATTTTCTACCGATTAATAAAACATGTAGGTATACATACATCAATATTTATCAATTAAATCAAATTCCTTTTAAAAGCCAATAATTAAACTAAAATTAATACTATTCAAAATATCTTTCATTTGCAAAACTGATCCCTTGTGATGAAAAAACAATACAGTCGATCGTGATTCTACAATGGATATATGAGAAAAGCTATTAGAATGGATTGGAAATCATACAGAAGGCAGAATCACCTTCAGTGAAGAGCATAGGGTAAACATAATAATCCTATGAATGTTGTAATCATAACAAAATCTCTCCTTTACAAATGTAACAGAAAAATGACTAAACCAAGCTTTTTGACCTTTCAAAAAGAAATATTAAGATATTACGAAACCTCCAAGTTTACTGCATATTGAAATTGTAACTTTGCAAGCTTTCAAGCCTTCTGGTCTTCTTTCCATTTACTGTTTAGAAATCCTCTACACTGATTCCTGAAAATTGAATACATTTATATAAAATTTATATATATATATATATATACATGTATGTATGTATGTATGTATGTATGTATGTATGTATGTATGTATGTATGTATGTATGTATGTATGTATGTATGTATGTATGTATGTATGTATGTATGTATGTATGTATGTGTGTGTGTGTGTGTGTGTGTGTGTGTGTGTGTGTGTGTATGTGTGCATGTATGTGTATGTGTGTGTGTGTGTGTGTGTGTGTATGTATGTATGTATGTATGTGTGCATGTATGTATGTGTGCATGTATATGTGTATGTATGATAAGTGTATGTGTGTGTTTGTATGTGTTGCTAATACATTTACAACAATAGCAATAAAGGAAAAATAGCAATGAAGTCTGATGCACACTTAACCTTATGAATGTTCAAAAAAGGATGGACACATGTAACGTCAAAAGATTAATTAAGATAAAAAATAACAAAACAGTTATCAATTAAATCAATTTCCTTTAAAAAGCCAATGATTAAATTAAAATTAATACTATCCAAAATATCTTTCATTTGCACTACTAATCCCTTGTGATGAATAAAATAATACAGTCGGATCGTGAATCTACAATTGATTTTTAATGAATGATTCCAATCAAACCAATAGTCAACAGTGCTCCTATTTTTACGAAAACCACATTAAATGTTGGTTATATGGTCATTGGTATCTAGAAAATCACACTAATCTATAGTTGGCCACGCGTTCCATGGTTTTACAAACGCAACTAGTTAAAGAAATTGGTCTATAGATTGATGGATCTGCATTGTCTCATATTGTATTGGTGCAACAAAAGCAAAAGCATTACACTATAATTAAAGGCTTTATTTAACACCAAACTCCTCTAAAAATAAATAATACATTTCTATCAATAATACTAACTATCTCTTCCGGCCGAAGATTGTTTCAAGCAAACCCCATAGAGTTATGTGTCTTGGAGCGCTCTTTACGAATATCATATAACTCATGTACGGAGCAGTTACATTCCATATATGGCAAGTGTTCCCTGTTTGGAAGCTGTTCGTCTCAAAGTTTCAATTATCGATTTCAGGCAAGTCGTAAGGGATAATAAGGTTTTTTTTATTGTATCAATAGGAAGCTAAAGTGAGTGCATATGCTCTAATACATATAATATAGGCCAAAATGTTGTCGAAAATATGTGACATTGTGCCTTTAATATCTGAAAAATAGAACTTAAGTACAGAAACATCCTTTGCAGGTGCTTATATATTTAAACTCTGATTAAAATATACCAAGGCAGTGACTTGGATAATGCTTTGTGAATGTGCGTGGTGTAGTGTTGTAGGTTGAGGTGGAAGCGGCATGTGTTGTAGGTTGAGGTGGAAGCGGCAGGTGTCGTAGGTTGAGGTGGAAGCGGCAGGTGTCGTAGGTTGAGGTGGAAGCGGCAGGTGTCGTAGGTTGAGGTGGAAGCGGCAGGTGATGTAGGTTGAGGTGGAAGCGGCAGGTGTTGTGAGGTGGAAGCGGGTTGAGGTGGAAGCGGCATGTGTTGTAGGGGAAGCGAAGCAGCATGTTGTGGAAGGTTGAGGTGGAGGTGAAGCGGCAGGTGTTGTAGGTTGGTGGGTGTCGTAGGTTGAGGTGGAAGCGGCAGGTGTAGGGGAAACGGCAGGTGTTGTAGGTTGAGGTGGAAGCGGCAAGTGTTGTAGGTTGAGGTGGAAGCGGCAGGTGTTGTAGGTTGAGGTGGAAGCGGCAGGTGTTGTAGGTTGAGGTGGAAGCGGCAGGTGTTGTAGGTTGAGGTGGAAGCGGCAGGTGTTGTAGGTTGAGGTGGAAGCGGCAGGTGTCGTAGGTTGAGGTGGAAGCGGCAGGTGTCGTAGGTTGAGGTGGAAGCGGCAGGTGTTGTAGGTTGAGGTGGAAGCGGCAGGTGTTGTAGGTTGAGGTGGAAGCGGCAGGTGTACACTGCACGCGACACACTGTGGACTACATTTGATATACCATATGTTGCGAATAATAATTGTGTTGTAGGCTCTGGAGTTGTCATGCTCACAGCTGTTGGGTAGACACGTTACTTACGGTGGTTAGACAGCTCATCTGCTGCCAGATGCTGTATAAGGTAAACCCTCCTAAAATTGTTCCACTTTGTGTCTCGATTGATATAGGATACACTCACCTTTTCGCGAACTTTATCGATTAGGAGCTTTTAGTAAAGATTTCCTTTGAACATGTAAACGGATAGTACATAAACGTTGCTTAAATCTTCCTTTCGGTTTTTAATGCTTCCGCTTTTACACAAACGTGTGGTTGCTTATGGCTGGAGGGAGGGCGTTTTACGACAGATGTACTTGACAAACGTTTCTCGAATTCCATCAACTCGAAATGCATAGATGATAGGGTTGATCACACTGTTGAGCACCAACAGAGAAAATAATACGTTCAGGGTAGTTATAGAGGAGTGTAAATACTTTAAGTTCGGTCGTACTGCCACAGTCAGGAAGAAGAGATATTGTGGAGTATTTAGTATGAGAAATGGGACAACGACGCTTGCACTTGTCAACGTTGCCTTCATATTCATCTTTATCTCGTTGATGTACCTCTCTCTACCCACGAAGTTCGGGATGATTTTTCTGATCTGTTGCCTGGCAACAAAGAACATGTAAACATTGCAGAGAAAGACGAAGATGATGCAGGGAAGGCTTGTCGCAGCAAACACGAAGAGACTCATAGAAGTAGCGAAGCAGGAAGTTGCACTCTTGGATGTTTGTGTCGGCGAAACTGTAAGCAGATACCATTACACAAACAGGAATTAGCCACGTGACCACAGCGGTTGATATCATGACTCTGGTTTCATTGAGTTTGTAGTGACGGTAAGGGAACTTCACAGCGATAATTCTTTCCATGGATAGAACGGTGATTGTAACAAGAGACACACCTGACGAAAGGGCTACAACACTGTATCTGATAATGCATTCAGTGGTGTTGTACAAATGGTTGTACACAACAGCAGAGTGGTACGTAAAGAAGAATCCCACCATTGTGTCAGTCACAGATTGGTTGATGAGCAGAAGACGAAGGAAGTTCTGAATCCGTCGACATTTTGCCAGCGTGACTATTGTGAGGACATTCTCTAGGATCACACAGGCACCAATCAGAATTTGTATCGGCATTACATATGTTGGATAAGAACCGTTTTGGCAGATGATACATATATATGTCATATTTTGGTCATTGTTAGGAACCGTTGTTGAAGTGTTCATGGTTGCTGTGAAGCTGATCTAGGTTAGGATCAGTTGAAAGTCCTTGGAAATTTTATTCAACTTGTTTGAACACTAAGGTTTGTCGGCTCTAATTGTGTCGATATTAGACAATACATCGGTTTATGATTGCTAAAATATCTCAGAAATAATGTCTCAGTTTGCTCCCATGGCATTAAAGGCAAAGTGTAGAATGAACATGGGCTCCAGTGCTTCAGTTTGAACACATTCTGTAGTAATCCGATCGTCAAGACAAGGCTTATACACACGTCCACGGGTCTTTGACTGCTTAAACTTAATGAGGCTTCTCTTCATGGCTGATGTCTCAGAAACGTCTGGAACTTGAATAAAATAAAATCTAAGCGCTTTAAAACATAAAATGTATCAAATGTATCAAACTTTCACTGCTAAAAGAATGCACTAAAGAAAATATGTTTGTTTATGGTTTAACAAAGCGCTCAGCAATATTCCAGCTATATGACTCTGACAGTAACTGAAATCATAAGCATGGATTTATGGAATACATTCACCTGCATCGAACTAGCCAGTGAACCTGACAATCCGATCCAGTTAGTCGTCTCTTAAGACAAGATTTAGTTGCTGAAGATCGTTCTAACCCGGATCTTGAAAATGGGCTATGATACCACCCTCTGATATTAACAAGGTAAACGTGTTGAGGTGTAGAATCGTTCCCCCATTTCGATCAAATCTGGCTCAGTGAGACGATGACATGTTCTTACAGAGGACTTATATCCGACATCGGATTCCTCCATCAATTTGTATAAGACATACTTTGTAGAAATCACTCACCGTGTGCGAAATAAGCAGTGTTTGAGTGAGTGAGTGAGTTTTACGCCGCACCCAGCAATATTCCAGCTATATGGCGGCGGTCTGTAAATAATCGAGTCTGGACCAGACAATCCAGTGATCAACAGCATGAGCATCGATCTGCGCAATTTGGAACTGACGCTATCTTAATGTTGTTCACGTCCAATCCGTTTGCTGGCGAGAGTTAAACTGTTTGTCAGGCTACACTACCGTAGAGTTTATACTGTCATACACGTGCAGGAGGGAATCTTAGAAGACTCTCTTTTCTTCACAACACACTTGTGGCTATGGGTTAAAAACGATGGTATGTGTATTTTGATATGGTCTTACAATACACACAGGTAAATAATCCTTGACGGTCTTCACCGTTGGCTTCCACGGGCAGCAGGCCAGAACATGCGTCACACAGGTAAGACATCTTGAACTGAACTGTAAGCAGCCTCAAAGGACATTGGCGCATGCGCAACAGATCACAAAAGCCTAAGGAGAGAGGGCTGGAGGGGGGCGGCAGGCTGATATTCATGTATAACCGTGGATACTTGGAAAGGAGCCTTCAGAGGAATGGTTTATTCACAAGCTGATATTGTCTTGCTTATTTCTAAGGAGACTTGGGGCGGCAGGCTGGGTTGAGAGGATGAGGAGACAATTGTAAACATGAAACACGTTGCTCGCCTCAAACATTTCTTATAGATTGCTTCCCAACAAACCTAGCTATATGCTGTCACACTGCTACATGACTAATCAGTTTTCTAAATGACATAGATATGTTTCTATCCATGTGTATTTCGAAGCATTAAATATCACGCTCTGAACTAAAACTGTATACATACTTTAGTTGAGACGGTTAAAGTTAAACTTTTCATCACGATACATTTAAAGGGAAAAGCAAGCATGAAATACCATTTAAACATCGGGTTCATTTATCCAAGTCGGGACAGGGCTGAATAATTCAGCGCCTTCTTTACAAATGGTTAACAATAGTTTCCGGCTGCATTCAGCGTTATAGTCAATGCAGGGTGACATGACTACCTTTTGAAGTAGACTGTCTATCTATTCTATTCATGACGGTATGCTATACATTAATTTATTCATGATACTTTACTTTTGTTTCCTCAAGTCATGAAGGTGTTTTCTGTACGACTGCCTTAAAACAACCACCTTTCATTGACCTTTCCTAGCCTGTGATGTCCTGTCCATCTCGTACCTGACGGTGACCACGTGACTTGGATGAGCCAATCAACATCTGCTCCGGCTGGATCCGGCAAAATGACCTTGTGGTGAATTAGACATTACTACTCATGTGTCAACCAAGTCACCGAGCCTGACCACCCGATCCCGTTAGTCGCCTCTTACGACAAGCATGGGTTGCTGAAGGTTCATTCTAACCCGCACCTTCACGGGTTCTCCTCTTACGACAAGCATGGGTTACTGAAGGTTCATTCTAACCCGGACCTTCACGGGTAGAACAGTTAAGAACTGAAGTCCGTCGGTGTTATTGTATGTTCAAGTGGATCCAAACTATCAGATACCATTCGCTTCAAGTTGTTTTCACTTTTACAGTTTTACTACAACTGCAATCTAACTCTATTGTTTTAATCTGTATATTAACACGAGAAAACTGGACAAAGTTTTACCAATATTTTATGACGTGATATGTTATTGAAAATTGGATATATTACAGACTCACTGACCAGGTTCCACTATCTTAACACTGCCAAGGGTTATTCTGATAACGAACATCGGACATAATCCGGGACCAGTATCTCTAAAGCTAATAGAACCAAGGCGCAGTTCGTTTATCTGTATTGTATCTTTATATCAGATGGTAAAATCACCCGCGTGCCTCATATACCTTCGTCACTGTTCGAGGCAAACTCGTGACTGGCCATCGATGCTTTGGTCAAACTAAATGACATAATCTCAAGTTCACAATAAAAACGTCATCGTAAGTTTTATCTGTAAACGCGATTATCTGCGATGTCTGGAAAAGATATATAATACGAATGACAGTCACAAACCATTCGGTGGCTGTTTTGTAAATTCACTCAGGTAAGAAGTTTTACTTTCTTTTACTTTTACAATTCTTAATGAAGAATTGATTAATTAATTACTTTGACAATCTGTTAACTTAATCTATTGTAAATACCTTAACTATATCTTACGACTCTTGGCACTACTTCCTTCAGGGTCGTGGCATCCTTACATATTTCTATTGTACTAGTGTTTCGGATCTACTTTTTTTGGTGTTTTTTTTTTTTGGGAGGTGGGGGGTAGGGGGGCTCCTTGCGTGTTCCTTACACGGACATTCTACAGGGAAACGGAAACCATTTCGACCACATCTGTGTATTTATGGACACAAATTGCTGGAACACTCTCACTCATGCTATTTTACAAACTTGTAGGTTCACAGTATTACATTCTAGGTGTTCACCACTTCTATTCCCACTGTGTCATAGAACGTGAAACTTCAGGGGAAGTGACGTGTATTAGGCATCCTGGTTGTTTCTTCCACGTCCTAGCTGTAGCTGCAGCTCGGAGGCATCTACAGTAAGTAATGGCCGGAAGTGAGATATTGATAGTCCAGACATGTCAGGTTATTCATTGTCCAACTGCAATTTCGACTCCCCAGGATTGATTGTTTGAAGTATAAACGTTTCGCCATTACTAACAATTTCCGAATATAGGCCCAGTGAGTCTCTGTACCTGTTGCTTTTCAAAGAATATTGAGGAATGCATATTCAAATATACATTTATTTCTTCAGAGATAACACTCACTCTACAAGCGTACCATTGATATTCATCAAGAAACAGATCTACAAGGAGGGGAGCACAGTTGGTGCCCATGGGGATTAAGACAATAACTAACGTGAGTGAGTGAGTTAAAATTTAAAGTCACTTTGACAATGTTTCAGCCATATCGTGACTAACTCAAGTTACAGATTAATGCAAATTAAAGGTACATTATAAAAACCTGTCAACGAAGGACAGTAAAAGAACTAGATTATCACAGACAAAATTTTAAAATAGTAATTAAATCTAAAACATTTTAACTATGCTTGACAATACAATATAAAAACAGGCTATAGATTGCCAACAACTGAAGGTGGATCACCATACTAGGGACCACGGGGACTTACAGTGACTTTGCTTTCTGCATGGGTTCTTGTTGGATTTACAACATCCCTTCAGCTGTTAGCAATTTAGATAATCTAGCCATGCATTAAAAATAAACATATTCTACGATTAAAAATGCGGAACGTTTAAATTTACTTTGAATGTTGAAGAACTAACCAGTGACGGGGCATGACAGTCTGAGATTATCTTTCCCGAGGGAAAGATAATCTGCAGTTTCTCTCTAAGAAAATCCGCACTGTGGCGAATACCCATATCCCAACGCGTGTGATGCGGCTTCATTTCCAAGAATTTCATCGTATTGCCGCACTCTTAAACGGGTGTATTACGCGAGACTAAATAGTCCCTTATAAAAATGTGTTTTTCCCAACTAACTTAACTCTATAGTTTGTTAAATTGCAACACATATGTGTTTTCTGCACGTGAATGCTTGGATTTTGTATTAATAATTGCAAACTAAAACGTATTTTATTAAATTTGTGTGTAAGTAAATCATTTGGAGACGAGACGTTACAGTTCGTGTGTCAGTCGCAGGACAGAACTTTGGTTTTACTGATCGTGATACTTAAGTCAACCCAGAACATTGGTTTTACTGGATCGTCAAACTTTTGTTCGTCAATAAAAGAAATGACAAGGTTGAATATACCGCGATCATTTGAATCGGAGATAGGGATGATGCCATGTTTGTTTAGTCGACAACACAGACATTGTATTACCTTTTGCAGCATTGTAATTTTTTTTTTTGCTGCAACTGTTATTTCCAAATGTTTACATGAAATAGTGATGTATGTGACCAGCATTTCACATAATGTTTTCTCGGTAAACTTCAAATGATATTTGCTTTCATTTTTGATAAACTGTCCTGAACCTCTGAAGACGGATGCGTAAGTACACCACGTATATTTACAAACACCCCAACGCGCAAGGAACCACATAGCATTAATTCTGCCTGTCTCAAGTACTTTCTGGTGAATATAAGAAAGTTCTTCCTTGACAATATTAAGGATTTTGGTTAATCTTTGCTACAGGGATTTGGTGGTACATTTGCTGGATCCAGCAATTTATCTCTCTTTGTACGAATGTTTATGTAGCTTTTGAATCCAGTGCAAAAGAGGAATGGACATGTCTTCAGGTTGAAGAGGCCTTCATAGTGATTCATAAACACATACTCTGGCATCGTATCGCATGGTGACAATCACTGGATTGGATTGTCTGGGCCAGACGTGACTTTACAAATTTTGATGGAACTTCATAATTCTGTTAGTGATTGCAACTCCCTACCTGAAGTGGGATTTGACATCTATCCTCAACGGAAGTGATTTATTAGATGTTTACGGGGTAAATATGTGATATGTACACTCGTAAGCCAATAGTAACGGAGATAAGTTAAGTTGATAAGATAAGTTAAGTATAAGAATGCTGATATATTCAGATCAGAGATCAGAGTATTGGAAATGTGAACACCTTTGTGGATGTAGTAGCCCTTAAGTCAAAATAGATTTGAGCCCCTCGGATATTAACCGTCGAATTGTACTGATGTTACATACCTGTGATTTGCTGATTTTAGGTAATTTTATCTCCCCTTGGCATATATATGAGACAGATCATTTTGCAGATTTTTGGCATTTATATTTTTCTCGGTTCCATGGAAACGATTTGGACTTGGTCTTAAAAACGAGGGGTGGGCTTCGTTTCCGGAGCACAACTCGAACACCTATCATTATCTTTCAACAAGACTTGACAAGATGGAGTAGATGGCCACCAAGGCCGCTGGAATCAACGTCAATGGTCTCATGTGCTTTCATGATGGTCGGCAGAGGATTTATCATCGCAATGGAGAGCGAATCACAGATGCATCTATGGCCACGCATAACCGATTTGGCGGGGGTCGGTCATGGTTTGGACAGGGATAACTCCTACTGGACGTACTGCACGTGGTCGACGGTAATCATACCGGACAACTTTATCGTCACCTACAGCAGTACCATTCCTGCAAGCTATGCATGGCTTTTATGGTCGACTCTCTTTACTGCAAGACGACAAGGCAAGTCCTCACATGGCCAGGATTGTCACGGCATTTCTTAGGCAGCGGGATGTAGAGCGGATGGAGTGGCCAGCATGCTCATCAGACCTCAACCCAATTGAGCATGCTTGGGATGAACTCCATCGACGTGTGCACACACGCCACCCAGCACCAGTGGATCTCCCAGGACTCCGCAGAGCTCTAGTAGAGGAATGGAATGCCATTCCGAAAGCTTTTGGAATGAACTTGATAAGGACCATGAGAACAAGGTGCACCTGTGTCTTGGACGCGCGAGGAGGGTACACAAGATAATGAATGACCGAGTGCTTCATGTTTGTCATTTTCATTTTTGGGGGGATGGTCTATACAACTGCTGTTTGCTAGTGCTGTTACCATGCAACTACAGACCTATAACACTGTTGGAAGTTTCTGGGAAGATATTTTCAAAAATTATGTGTAATAGGCTCTATCTTTGGTCCAAAAGTAATGTCATTTTAGTTCCAGAACAAGCAGGTTTCAGAAAAGGGTTCCAGACAATTGATCTTAAAGCAGCATTTGATTCTGTATCCAGGAGTGGTTTGTTGTACAAGCTTTGGGTTAATGGCGTCAAAGGTAAAGTGTTTCGCTTAATCAGCAATATGGATTCAAAGGTTATATCTTGTGTCTCTCTCCAGGACAGTCACTCAGAGTTTTTCGAATGTCTATATGGTGTGAGACAGGGTTGTCAGATGTCACCGTTTTTGTTTTCTTTGTATATTAATGATATTATTGACTTTCTAGGAGATGATGGACAGAGACGTATTGAACTAGAAGTATTATATGTTTTCATGTTGCTGTTTGCAGACGATATGGTAGTAGTAGATTGTAATGGTATTCCGGCGAGGTGGTAGATTAAAAAAATATGAAAGGTTTTATTTAAATGGTTCTAAATTAGAAGTTGTTACATCTTATAAATACCAGTTCAGGATCTTGGCATGTCACACAGGCAACGCTTTCAGAGCAGGCTTTAAGGGTTATCTGCTCATTAAGATCTATTGTCAACAATTTTATCAATTTGCCAATTAATGCATTGTTATATATATTTTATGTTAAAATTCTCCCAGTGTTGTATGGTTCGGAGGTTTGGGGATTCCACCCTTCTGCTGCGGTAGAACGTGTCGCTGACAACCTTTATAAACAGGTACTCCATGTGGGTAGAGCATCTCCAAGTATTGCTGCTTTCGATTAAGGTCCATCAATATGTAAGAATAATCAAATATTGGGTTCGGATTTTACACCAAGATGTAAACAGTATATTGTGTAAAACATATGTAATGTCCAATATCTACGGGCAAAAGCAGGAAGAAAGTGTTGGGCTCTAAGTGTTAAAAAATTGCTTTTTAGTTATGGTTTTGGTTATGTATGGGTAAATCAGGATGTTGGATGTGTTGAATCTTTTATTTCAGAGTTTAGAGAAAGATGTATTATGATAGATAAACAGTGCTGGTATGAAAGCATTTGCAAGATATCCAAATTAGACATATACAAGAAGACAAAGTCATCAATATACCCCGCAACGGCAAAAAACTCTTTATGAATATGTCTACTACTTATGATTCAAATGTTCTGGAGTGTATATAGCATTATTATTTCTGAGAATTCTTTAAATGTGCTATATATCTTTTGACCCTTTATTCATGACGCCTCGTATAATATTTTCATCAGGTCTTTTTTTAATAAGCATGTGTACTTTGAGATGAGTGAGTTTAAGTTTACGCCACACTCAGCAATATTCCAACTATATGGCGGCGGTTTGTAAATAATCGAGTCTGGACCAGACAATCCAGTGATCAACAGCATGAGCATCAATCTGCGCAATTGGGATACGATGACATGTGTCAACCAAGTCAGCGAGCCTGACCACCCGATCCTGTTAATCGCCTTTTACGACAAGCACGGGTTACTGAAGATCAATCCTAACCCAGATCTTCACGGGTTACTTTGAGATGGGTGTACAACGTTTCAGAATGATAGGTTTGAAAATATGTAGAAGAGAGGTTGCCCTATTTTGAGAAACCTTTACCTAATCCCATTCACCTGTCATGAATAGATGATACAAGACACAAGAACTACGCCACAGAACCGGAATGGCTCTACGCGATGGCGTTTAGAAAATGGTTTTGCATGTTCTTAACTCCAAAAGCCCCTTATATAAATCGTTCTTCATTTTGGAATTCCTACAAATGAATACCCAGTTTTCCACACTATACACTAAAATTGATAACATCTTAATATGAAAGACTTGGACAACATGAAGAGGTAACTTTGGATAACTCGACTGCATTTAATAAACAGTAGAGATGGACTTTCTAGGTTAAATAGATTAGTTTTAATACTTGTGTAAAAGCAACAAGTGACCAACTTGAAATAAGAGGAAACAGAGTCATTGGTTGGTTTACCATAGTGCTTTATCGTTGAAGAATGAACACTATGTTTATGGATATACAACTTCTGTATTCTGAGGGTCTTATAGAAGCTGAGAAAGTGAGTCTGGATAGCGCAGCGTACATTAATTCAGTTATGTTAATTCATGCTAGTGATGTAGGGAGAACGCCTCAGTTAATGCAGACCACTTTGGTGAAACTCACAGCCACGAACATTACCAGCGACACTGGAGATTCAAATCCATGATCAAAGGTTTCTGGAAAATCATACTGCTGCGTAGAATTTGAAGTAGACCTGAGTTTACGTACCTTGAGTTGAGAGAAAGAGACAGCGTGAAGAAGTAAACAATGTTGACCATCTTGACCGTCTTCAGTGTCCGCTACTGACCGTTAACATACACGTTCTGTTTGTCCCTCCAAGAATGATAGTAGATGGACATGCCAGGAAATGCATCAAAGTCAAAGACTGTTCGAGGTCGGCATTATCCATCTGTTTTGATTAAGATGAAAACAATGGTACCTCATTATGGGAACCAAAGTTTAACTTGGATATTTCTACATACGGATATGTTGATGACCCACGTGAATGGCGTTCATTAACTGTATACAGTCGGATAATACTGTTGGAGGTGATACAGTGTCGGGTGTGTTAAGTGACAACGTTCGGCGGAAGTAGCTGCTGATGCTGAACACAGACACCGGAAGTTTACCACAAGCGTGATGCGCACTATCATAATAATAATAATGAGAATATTCATAACGCGCCTTTTCCAGGCTAGATATCCTACTCAAAGCACACAATCTGAACTTATTACCCCGGCTAACCCAAGCTGCCTGTTAAGCGCTAAAAGGTTTATAGTCTCATGACTTATTTCACCTTATTTTGAACAAATTCACGTGCCTAAGGTGAGACCACATGTATCACATGTGCTTCGTTGTGGGGCAGGACTGAAGTCCTAGAAACTCTCAGGAGTCAAGCTGTCATTATAGGCAGGTTCAGGGTAAAGGATGTGTAGAATTTAGCGCTATATACTGTGTGTTCACTTTTAGTTAGGTTTCTATGTTTGAATTTGAAACTAGTAGCGCAAAGTTATGTGCCTTGAATTTAAAATAGATTACTAACTAAAGTAAGATTTATCTAATCTAGATGTGGGAATACGTCAACTTTCAAATCAGGGGCGGATACAGCTTTTTGAGAAACGGGTGCACACTCTTGAGAGAGGGAGGGTGGGAGTGTGCACACTTCATTTTCACGAGATTTTCAATGATCATTTAATAAACTTTCAGGACAAGGGGGCGCACCCCTGCACCCCTGCATCCCTGCACCACCTCTGGATCCGCCTATGCAAATGACATTCGATTAAAGAAAGGACTAGGTGCGATAAGGGCCGTTCTTGGCCCACTGCTGTTGGCAATATTTCAAAATGAGCATGTATTTACAAAACCCAACATCTCTATATATACACACACAATGAGTCGTGAGGGCATCTGCAAATGAACCAGCCGCTACACTTGAGTGCACACCCACCCGCTCTGACTGGGTTCGGTATCCCGGCTGCTTCGTTTCTTGGGAAGTAAACCGAAGTAGACAATATTGCACTTTTGATTTGCGATTGTACGCTTATAATTTTGTTTATATGTTTTTTCATAACCAGCAATGTATATTATATGTCATGAATAAGTGATAATTGTGTTTTAATTATGTTTGATTTTTGGGTTGCATGTGACCTTTAATGAAGGATTCTAATCGTACTAAACGGTCGACAGTACTTCGATTTTCCCGGAAACCACAGTGTATGTTTGTAATGAGGTTGTTGGTTTCCAGGTACCAAACCATACGTTCCATTGTCTTGCAAACACAGCAAGTAAGAGATATTGGCCTGTAATTAGAGGCATCGGTATGATCCCGAGCCGGTTTAGGCTCAGGAACAACAATGGCATTTCTTCATGATGGTGGGAAATTGCCAGAAGTCTGGCAATATTGTCGAAGATATTCAGTAATGTTTCCAAACTTGTTTCAGGTAGATTTTTTAGGAGCTGATAAACTATATTATCGGTCCCTTAAGCAGTGGCATGGGCCTGGCCAAGGGCAGTATGAAGCTCCTGTAATGCAAAGATTTCATTATACTCTTCACCATTATCAGAATTGCATATTCTTTCTTTCTTGCTGGTCTTTAAATTTTTGAAGGTCTAGTACATAATTGGATGGTGAAGAGTGCTTAGCCAACGTTTCACCTAATTTATTCGCAATATCAGATTTATCTGTAAGAAGAGTGTCACCATCCTTAAGATGATGAACAATACATTTGGACCCTATGCCTTTAATTTTCTTTATCATACCACACCTTAGAAATTGTTGTTCGGGAGTTAACGTTAGACACGTAGTTTTGCCATGACTGTCGTTTTTGACTTAAAGGTGCGACGAGCCTTGGCATTTGAAATTTTAAACTGATTGAAGTTGTGAACTGTTCGATGGCGAAATATTTCTCTGCCTTCTTCCTTGCCTTTCTAGAATTTATGCAATCAATGTTAAACCATGGTTTACGAATATGTGGAACTATAGAGGACCTGTAAATACACCCATCGGCAATTATTTAGTTCATCAGAAAAAAACTTGAATAGGATCAAGTACATTCAGAAAAATATCTGGGTTTAATCTTTCATTACATAATGAATGAAATAAAGACCAATCGGCCTTTGCAATGTTCCACCGAGATAATGGTGGAGCGTCAATTGGAATTATTGCTGAAAGAATAGTGGGTAAATGGTCACTCCCACAAAGGTCGTCTTGGACTGACCATTCAAATTCATTATGTAAATTGGAATCCACAATAGATAGATCCAGAGAGGAGTATGAACCAGTTGCAGGATGAAGGTATATGTCAGAGCCATTATTGAAAATACATAATCATTATTGGAGAAAAAGAAAAGAAAGATTTATGGATGTCAACTCCTTTATTGTGCATAACACGACGTTTCGCCTGATGAAGGAGCAAACATACACTCCGAAACGTCGTGTTATTCACAAAAAAGAAGTTGACATCCATAAATCATGCTTTTCTTATGTTTTCCACTTCTAAATGCCCTTCGAAGATTTGCTCAAGTATCTTTCCTTTTGTGTTGTTGTTGTACAGACCGCCGCCAATATAGCTGGAATATTGCTAAGTGCGGCGTAAAACTGAACTCACTAAGATTGGTCGTCTGAAATTGGTCCACGTGTAATTTGTCTGACATCCAATGGATACTGATGAAACTGGAACACATTGTGAGACAACCCCAGAGTAAGGATTGCGAGCAGCTTGTTCTTCACTGAAAACAATCTTCTTTGCATCCTGAAATGAGATATTTCGTTCGTGTTTCAATTAATCAATTTTGGATTCACGCTTCCATATTGGAAATCTCTTGATGAAGAATCATGTTTTCCGCCACAGTTCACACAAGAGGGAACATTGACACAGTCAGCACTTTCTGTAGAGTTACCACCACAGCGATTATAGTCCGTTTGCCTCGAAATCGGACCGATGAATTGCATTCTAACTCGAAAACTACTAAACATAGAATACGCAATGAAACACTGATCAAAACATCAAACCAACTCTGTGGGTTTTTTCAGAATTTATGTCCTAAAAATAAAAAAGTTGTTCAACAAACTAGCATTAAAATCTTGACACAGTTCATTATTTGTTACGAGGGAGGTGTGCAAGGTGTGCAAGCAAGGATGGAGACGGCACAGCACAGGTTAATGAATCAATGACTTTGTCGGCAGTTGTGCACGTGCCTCGCGTACACCTGGCTGTTCCGCCCTTTGCAATCCTCCCTCGTTCGCTCGTCACGCCGAAGACCCGGGTTCGATTCCCCACATGGGTACAACGTGTGAAGCCCATTCTGGTGTCCCCCCGCCGTGATATTGCTGGAATATTGCTAAAAGCGGCGTAAAACTAAAACTCCCTCACTTCTCGAGCAGTCTTCGCACCTTAGCAGAACAATGCCTTTGAAATAATACCCAGCCCCTCGAGGAGTCCGATGTAAACTATTTTGGACCACAAGTTCGGCCGGAAATTGTCCTGTTCAAACTTTGCGGGAATTGACGCAGGCACTCCACGCGGAGCGGCAGAGGATACCGCTGAAAATTCTACGCTTGATTGCAGAGACTGGCGGGTGTCATCCGTGCGTAGGTACACCAGGTACTGATGAGGTCGCCAGTTGAGGTTCAAACAATCACAACAAACAGTAGTATTTGTAAACTGTGTGACAATAGGACTGATGTGGTAGTCATGACCAAACTTACCGCCAATCTGGATATTCATTGGGTTTTTTTATTTTCTACTGTCTAATTGCATGCAAATTGTTATCAAATTCCATTTATACATATTGTAAAATTATGTTAAAATTACAATTTTAATACGCGGAGTATGTATGTATATTCGGGCAGTACTTGTTTAATGCACATGTGTATGAGTGGAAAACCCAAACCAATACTTCGTTTACACCCACGTTGGGTCGAGTTCCATCCGGGATTCGAACCCACATCCTCATGGTCAGGCACCTAATCGCCAGCACACAAAGTCAGCCACCTAACCCGCTCAGCCACCGCGATTGAGAAACTGTAAACCCAAATATAACATACGTTACATTTGACCATTTTCTAAATGGCATTGTGTATCGACCTTATCATCGTAAACAAAATGTGTGTGAGTGAGTGAGTTATATTCCAGCAGTATCACGGAGGGGGACACCAGAAAGAGGCTTCACACAATATTAATGTACCCATGTGGGGGAATCGAACCCGGCTACCCCACCGCCCTAGACAAAATGGGGAACAGAAAACAATAAAACAGAATCACACCAGCACTACAGGAAGGTACAGGTACACGTTATGAAACAGAACCGGAAGGAAACTCTGACTAGCTTCGTTTCCAATGCCTTGCGTCTTTGTATAGATTCCTCTGATAAAATGCTAATATATCTGGATTAAAACAACAATCAGCCCTATGATTTAATCTGCGTTGACGTTTACATTGCGTCGAAAGATTTTGTATGAGGCTCGAAGAGAACGCTTTTATGACTCATCACACAGGACTTTGAGAAACGTCAAAGAAGGTAAGTATAAGCGGGGCATCATGATACCACAGGTCCTTGTACACAACTCCTGGGGTCTTACACCAACATTCATGACGTAACATTCATTTTATTCAACATATTCTACACTTATTGTTTTGGTGCTTCACGGGGGTTTTCTGTTTGAAGGAACACAATCACTTTGTTAAACCTGTTATAACTCAAATATACGGCAACATACTGAGAAGTTTCACTGTAAATTTCATATTTTACCCTGGCCATGTTCATTCGTACATTATGA